ATGTTGTACTACCTGATGGCCCTCTGAAGTGGGCGTGATCACCCCTGCCTAAGGTCATGCAGCAGGTTCATGGCAGATCTGTCCTGTTCCAAGCCCGTTCTCTCAATCACTGCTCTGTGTGCCCAGGCTTCGGATCCATGGGAGAGTCTGTGCCCAAGAGGTGCTGTACACTCACAGGCACCTGTAACCTTTGTGTCCTCTGACAGAGTGTGTCACCTGCCCGTGGGGCCCTGAACTCCATGTGAACTGAGCCCTGGCCAGCCTGGTCACCTGCACTTGGCTCCAAGTGCACAACCATGCTGCTGCCCAAGAAAAACATGTCCCACATAGAAGGCAGGTTCTGGAAGTCTCTAGGGCACTGGCTGTAGGACATGAAGGAAAAAGAACCGGAAGGCTACTGAGAAAACCCATGTTCTCGGCTAACCTCTTTTGGAAAAAGGCCAGGCAATCTTTCTCGACCTTCTGTGTCACAACAATTAAGCAGCTGGTTTATGAACCATTAAGCTGACGGTGCTCATTGATGATATTTTAGGTTCTGTTGAAATTCATAAGCTAGTTCATCTTTCATAATAATCCAACAATGGGTCATCCATCACGTTTACAGCTTCAGAAAGAGGGCAGCAAGTGTCACATCCTGTAATGTCTCCAGTAATGTTTATTTTTTCCTTAATTACAGCCTGAAAGCAAGGCTGCCCATGTGGACGGCAGAGAATTGGTGGGGAAAACTCCTGCAGCTGCTGATAGGACTTGAAAGGGGTCATATGGGCTGCCTACTTACTCCAAGGAAAAGTGATCAGAAGCCCTTGTTCCTTCCTTCCCTCCAGGCTCCACGGTGCACAGCTGTGCAGTCTCCTGGGCCAGTCCCAAGAAGAGGCTGGCTGTGGCCAGGTGGCCTGTGAGGACTGTCACGAGCTGCACAGACTTCCCACGACCAGCCCCACTTGACATCTTTGGGCATCATGAGTTGCACCCATGTCACAAACACAATCCCTGTGTATTTCTTGGGGGGCTCCATTCAGAAGCAGCATGGACAAATACTCCTGTCCCACGAAGCCCTCAAATCTTTTATCTCTACTCTGGGGGTGAGAAGAGCCCAGCCTGGTCTCCACATTTGTAGAGGTAAACCTCACCACCTACACTCTGTCCTGAGCAGGGACTGGCTGCATGCCCCCAGGACCAGCCTTCTCCCACCTTAGGAATCCCAAGAACCAGTGTTTTCCCAGATGTCTCCAGAAAGACCAGACCACTGGGGTGCAAGCAGTAGGCCTGGTTGGCACTTCTCAGCTCCTGCCACAGGAACCTCCCAGCTCCCTTGTGAATGCAGATGTGGAGCATAGCAGGTCCCAGACCAGCAGAGCAGGGCTGTGGGAGGGAAGGGATGGCTCAAGGTTGGTGGCAGCCACAGTCCAGGGTCCTGAAGATTCTGAACGGTGAGGGAAAGCATGGGGTCACTGGAGAGGTCCAGTCTCCTAGAGAATGCTGAAAAGGAGACTGTGATGTGTCCGCCTTATTTAATCTCTTGTCCCAAAAAGAACAGCAATTATAATTTTGAGAGATAAAGTTATTAGTGTAAATGTAAAGAAATTTAGATGTGGTGTGATTTTAAAGAAAAAAAATGACTCCTACAGAAAAGGTATTTGGCCTTAGTGCTGGCAATGTTTCCTTCCCACTGACTCAGGCTCCTGCTCCTGGGCCTGCAGGGGGATGGGGTGGGGGCCTGCTCTCCTGGTCCCTAAACACATTGCCTCACAGACCCCCCAAGACTAAGAGAGACTTCATTATGGGTACTCAGCTTCGCAATAGAAAAATAGCCACCTGAAAGGAGCTGGAGAGGCAGAGGGCCAGGCAGGGCACCAGGCTCTTTATGTTGTCAGGGACAGACAGGACAGATGAACTGCTCCTAGATGTGTGGGGATCAGCTAGCACAGCCCATCTTCTCCTGGGAGGCACCGATGCTGTCCCGCTGCAGATATGTGTTCACTCCTGTCTTGTTTTCAGATGCTCTCTCTTGGCCCCATGGGCCACCCCTCTTGTTTGTTAGCTCCCTTATTTGCCAAGGCCCACTTGTAATGTGCACTCAATAAGCGCTTTTCTCTATTATAATCCATTGATCCCAAAGTGCTTAGGTAGTGTTATAAATATTGGTTTAAAAAATTAGCCAGAGACCTCACCTCAAAAAGTTAGCCAGAGGATTACTGATTAAACAGAAACTATTTCCCCCAAGAAATTTCATCTAAAAATATAGCAGTTTCCACTCTCACCTATTGTAGGAGAGCACATTGGAGGAAACACTGAGACCTGCATCCAGGTGACCGTCATTTCTTTTTTTTTAGATTTTATCTATTTATTCATGAGAGACAGACAGAAGGAGAGAGAGCGGAGACATAGGAAGAGGGAGAAGCAGGCTCCATGCAGGGAGCCCAATGTGGGACTCGATCCCGGGTCTCCAGGATCAGGCCCTGGGCTGAAAGCAGCGCTAAACCACTGAGCCACCCAGGCTGGCCTTCTAATGCCTCTTCTGGTTATTGCCAGGAATTACTAAAAAACAGATGATAGAAAAAAATCTGTGATAATAGAGGGATTGTCTAAAAAGAAATGTGCATATAAACAGGTCTTCCCAACTAGGCAAAACCAATTGTCTGCACAAATAATTCAGATAAACAGGATAAAACGTCTATTGATAATGAGGGAACTCAGGAACAAGCCATCTGGGCTGGACGTTGTTGCTGATGGATCTTGAAAAGATCCTGCTAAAGGATCCTGTGAGCTGTCTCATCTATGTCTGTCATTATTCCCTTGATCTTTGAAGTGCTTTCAACTCCCCAGGATTGAGTCTGGGGCTTCTGGTAGGGTTGTGGAGGCAGTTCAGTGACTAGGTCACCCACCCAGGGCTACACTATGTGACCCCATTAGAGTGGCTGATAAGGAACAGATTCTGTTGGCGCCACATGCACTTGATCTCACTCTCCACTGGCAACAGTGGAAATTGCATAATGGCATTGTTAAGTATCCCAGAATTATAATTAATTCTAATTAGCCAATAAAATATTGATGAACCGGAACTGAGATAGCTAGAATTGCCATGTTGTATTCCATTTTTAAGAAAAAGAGATCAAGCAGAAATATAATCTAAAACCAAATTATAATAGAAATTCCAGGCAAAAACTGTGGAAGGAGCCTCGGTGCCCATCGAAAGATGAATGGATAAAGAAGATGTGGTTTATGTATACAATGGAATATTACTCAGCCATTAGAAACGACAAATACCCACCATTTGCTTCAACGTGGATGGAACTGGAGGGTATTATGCTGAGTGAAGTAAGTCAATCGGAGAAGGACAAACAGTGTATGTTCTCATTCATTTGGGGAATATGAATAATAGTGAAGGGGAATATAAGGGAAGGGAGAAGAAATGTGTGGGAGATATCAGAAAGGGACACAGAACATAAAGACTTCTAACTCTGGGAAATGAACTAGGGGTGGTGGAAGGGGAGGAGGGCGGAGGGTGGGGGTGAATGGGTGACGGGCACGGAGGGGGACACTTGACGGGATGAGCACTGGGTGTTATTCTGTATGTTGGTAAATTGAACACCAATAAAAATTAATTTATAAAAAAAATAAAATAAAGGAAAAGCAATTTTCATAAAAAAAAAAAAGAAATTCCAGGCAACATTCTGGGATTGATACATATCTATCTTGGTCTAACACTGCTCTCGCCCATAATGCAGGACACATTCAAATTTGCTTATGGGGACTTTGCTTTGGTGGCCTGGCCCCCTTCAATCTGCCAGGTCCAAGTCTCCCTCACCCCTCCCCACCCTGGAGGTGCCAGGTCCCCTGCCTTCCTCCTGGAGGTCCTCCCTCCCAACCTACATTTAGCTTGAGCATAGACTTCTTGTTCTCATTCCAAACACTGGGTTGCAGGCCTGGCTGTGATTCTCTGACCTTTGTTTTCATTGTCCTGTATGAATGCATCACTCCTGCATATACAGTGATTAGGACATGACATACTCCCATCCCCTTCCCCGTCCCAACACCCAGGTATCCCATAGTCACAGGCCCCCAATCTCAAGAAACAAGTGGTGAGATGCATGGGCACCTCAGGGGGTTTGGGGGTGTGAGGGAGCTCTGGGCACCTTTGAGTGCAAACTCTGACAGAAGTCTTTGCAGTCCCACCCAGCCCATCTCCCACCCAAAGGGAAAAGAAGGCATCATTCTGACCCCTCAGGTCCTGACTGCACAGTCTGTATGGCCATGGCATGTACCTTCTCTCCCCATTATTGTACAGGTTACCTTAGCATCCCAGGGATTGACACTGGCCCCTCTGTCCCGCACACTGGGCCATGCTCTCGGGTTTTTCTGAACCAGCCTCTCCCACCCACTTCCTTGACTGTGCATGCATCCTTCGTGGCCTCAAAGAAAGGCTGCCCTTTGGAGGGCAAGGTCTCAGAGCTGGGTTTGGAGCAAAGGTGGTGCTTACTCTGGCCAAGCAAGCATCCCTGCAACACCTCTAGCTGGCGTCCCAGGGCCAGTTTCCCCATCTAAAAGTGGAAATATTCCACATAGTGCTGAGCTTGTCAGTGAACTGGCCCTAGGGAGACCCCGCACTCTCTGCAAAGTCCAGGAGGGTCTCTTGGCGGGGGAGGGGGGTCCCCTACAGAGAAGCCACCTCCCCTGCAAACAATACAAAGACAACAAGGCAACAAGGACCTCTGTTGGCCTCGGGCTTTTAGAACCAAAATGAGCCAAGATGATCAGTGGTACCCAGGCCACAGGACAACATTCGAGTGTGACGTTCCTAAGTATGTTCAAGGAAGAGCATTGGTGTGGGGCACCTGGGTGGTGCCGTTGGTGAAGCATCTTATTCAGCTCAGGTCAGGACCTCATGGGTCACGACCTCATGCGTTGTGAGATGGAATTGGGCTCTTTCCCTCTGTTCCTCCTTCAACTCATGCTCTCTAAAATAAACCTTTTTTAAAAATCATGTTTATTTAGGAAAACATAATTCTAGTGACGTCCTTGTTGGAGATACTTTACGCTAAAAATGAAAACCTTGCCAGCGCCGTGCAGGCCCACCCTCGCTTAGAGGCGCAAAACCAGGAAGGACCCTCCGGCCCGCGCACGCGCAGAGCGCTCTGCCGCAGCGCCCGGACACCACCGCGCAAACCGCCGGGATCCGGTGCGGTTCGGCGCACGCGCAGAGGGCGGTGCCGGCGCCGCACTCCGCCGGGGGGGTTGAAGGGGTGAGGGGCCCGCGCACGCGCAGGGCTGCACAACATGGCGGCTACAAGATATCAGGGAAGGGAGAGAGGAGAGGTAGGTCCTGCGCGCCCAATCGGAGACATTGGGGGCAGCGGGGCAAGATGGTCGCTAGGCGGGATGAGGAGGGCCCCTTTGCAGGCGGAAAGCACAGGTACAGCGTGTGACGCCGAACTGGACGGGCCAAGAAGGCCTCGACTTGAATTGCCTGGTCCCCGCGGCGGTTTAGCAAAGACTCCAATGTGCCCGAGGAGAAAAGGCGATGAAGACGGCGCAGGCGCGGACTGAAGGACGGAGGCTGGCCCCCTGCCCCCCAGCGCGTGTCGCCTGTCTTGTCCGCGGAGTCCCGTTCCGCAGGTGTTTTACTGGTGCGTCCTGCCGCGGCGGCCCCTGGGCAGGAGCCTGCGTGCACAGCCGGCCCCACCTTTGAGTATCAGGACCCGTGCAGGCCTGTGACGCCATCGGGAGGCGACAGGGCTGCGCCGCCGGCCCTGTCACCTCGCGAGAAGGTGACTCCCGCCCCCCCCCCCCCGTGAACGTGGCAGCTCTGCTCGCCAGCCGCGGCTTCCTCGTTGCGCGGCTGTCCCGCGGCGGCCGCCTGGAGCCTGCCCCTCCCCGGCTGCCGGCGAACTCTCTCCGGCGCGTGAGCGCCTGCTCAGGGCTCCGAGAGGAGACGGGCGTCCCACTTCTTCTCTGGGGTGTGGGCGTGGCCCCGGAAGTGCGTCATGTGCGCGTCACGGAATCCAATTGGTTGAGAAAGTCTTCGTGGAAAAGGGGAACACTGCTTTCTGTTATCTTCTGATCGCGAGTGTAGAGGAGGGTTTTATTTTTTTAAAGATTTTATTTATTTATTCATGAGACAGAGAGAGAGAGAGAGAAAGGCAGAGACACAGGCAGAGGGAGAAGCAGGCTCCACGCAGGGAGCCCCATGCGGGACTCGATCCCGGGATCACGCCCTAGGCCGAAGGCAGGCGCTAAGCCGCTGAGCCCCCCGGGGATCCCCTAGAGGAGGGTTTTAATAGCAATTTCTGCGGCTTTTTGTAATTAGCCATGCATTAAGCCACGTGACCCCGGCGAGTCTGGTCCACTCACACGCCCCCAGCGGAGTCCAGAGTCGGCCTCGCGGTCCTGGTCTGTTCCTGCCCCTGCGGAGGGGTGACTGGGGTGGTCAGGTGGTGGCCCGCTATGTGAAGTAATAAAGTTGTGCTTTTACATTCCCGGGTGACAGAAACAAGTGGTGTGGGAGGCGGCGTCCCCTCCCCGCTCCGTCTCTACCCTATTTCCAGCCCCCGGCATCTCCGGGCTCCCCTAATCCCCCCCCCCCCCCCCCCCCCGCTCTGATGTCCTTCCTGTGCTCCCTCCCTCCGCACCTGCCTCAGACAGCCTCTCTGCACCCTCTCCTCGCTCTGGAGAAGGCCTGGATCCCTTTTTCATGGTCATGCTGTGCTCCGGAACTTGGACAACCAGTTAGTGATGCCATTCTGTACTTATTTCACCTTGTATCTCCCTATCTCCTCTTCTTTTTTTTAATTTATTGATTTAACTTCACTTAGCCTACATAGAGCCCATTAGTTTCAGAAGTACAGTTCAATAATTCATCAGTTTTGTACAACACCCGGTGGTCATTACACTACTGACCTCCTGAATGCCCATCACCCAGTTACCCCACCCTCCACCACCCCCCGCCCCCCTCCCCAGCGACCCTCAGTTTGTTTTCCAGAGTTAAGGGTCTCTTATGGTTTGTCTCCCACTCTGATTTCTTCCCATTCAGTTTTCCTTTCCTTCCCCTATGGTCCTCTGCCCTGTTTCTTATATTCTTCATATCAGTGAAACTGTATAATAATTGTCTTTCTCTGATTGACTTATTTCACTCAGCATAATACCCTCCTGTTCCAGCCATGTCGATGTAAATGGTAGGTATTCATCCTTTCTGATGGCTGAGTAATATTCTATTGTATATATAGGCCACATCTTTATCTGTTCTTCGGTTGAAAGGCATCTCCGCTCCTTCCACAGTTTGGCTATTGTAGACATCGCTGCTGTGAACCTTGGGTGCAGGTGTCCTGTCGTTTCACTGCATCTGTATCTTTGGGGTAAATACCCAGCAGTGCAATTGCTGGGTCATAGGGTAGCTCTATTTTTAACTTCTTGAGAACCTCCATACTGTTTTCCAGAGTGACTGCACCAGCCTGTATTCCCACCAACAGTCCAAGAGGGTTCCCCTTTCTCCACATCCTCGCCAACATTTGTTGTTTCGTGAGTTATTTTCAGCCATTCTCACGGGTATAAAGTAGTATCTCATCCTGATTTTGATTTGTATATCCCTGATGGCAAGTGCTGTGGAAGCATTTTTTCATGTGCTTGTTGGCATATGTAGGTTGTTTTTTGGAGAAATGTCTGTTCATGTCTTCTGCCCATTTCTTGACTGGATTATTTGTTCTTTGGATCTTGCGTTTGATAAGTTCTTTATAAATCGTGGGTAGTAGCCCTTTATCTGATTTGTCATTTGCAAATATCTTCTCCCATTCTGTAGATTGTCTTTTGGTTTTGTTAACTCTTTCCTTTGCTGTGCAGAAGCTTTTTATCTTGATGAAGACCCAATAGTTCATTTTTGCTTTTGTGCCCCTTGCCTTCAGAGATGTGTCTTGCAAGAAGTTGCTGTAGCTGAAGTTGAAGAGGTTGCTGCCTGTGTGCCTCTAGGATTTTGATGGATTCGTGTCTCACATTTAGGTCTTTCATCCATTTTGAGTTTATCTTTGTGTATGGTGTATTGCCCTATATCTTCTAAGATATACGGTGGACATTGTGTCTTATTGATACTGAAAGCTTCACTTAATACAGTGCCTGGAGCTAACAGACACAATAAACACTGGTCACTGGTTGCCTGACCAGCTGAATGAATGAATGACCGAATGTATTGTTTTCTGAAGTTTCTATCTTGTCCAGTATAGGAAAGAGCAGCAAAGCAGGTAACTACAGAGAATGAAGAGGATGTTGATGTTGTCAAGACAGTGCTCTGAGACTGTAGACACAAGGCAAAGCTGTGACTCAGTTGGTGGTGCTGCCGCAGAAGAGGGGAATTACCTAAGGAAGATGTATTGAGCCAGAAACAGTATTTATGTCTTTTTAAAGATGAGCTCTATTGAGGTATAAGTTACACAAAATAAAACGCAGCCACTTTAGGTGTGCACTCTGATGAACTTGGGCAAATGTGAGCACCCATGTAACCAGGTCCCAGTGAAGATCTGGAACATCTCCCTCACCAGAAATGTTGCCCTTTGCTCCTTCCCAACCAACCCCTCATACCCCAGTCCCAGGCACTTCCCATCCTCTTTCTGTCCCTGTGGAGATTTGTCCTTTTGTTCATGCACCTGATATACAGTGAGCCAATGATTGGAACACCCAATTTTGAAGCACAACAAGCTTTATTATTGGAAGGGCAGCCCAGTGAAGAGGCCAGACATCATTGCCAAAGTTGCCTTGCCTTCTTGAATCTAGGGGCAGTTTATATATGATTGTTTAGGAATATGAGTATGTGAAAGGAAGGTTATGGGCTTCTTGAAACTTGAGGGGGTAGTCTTGAAACTACTGAAGGTTCACAGTCTTCTGGACAGTGAGGCACCATCTGGGACCTGGTACATAAGATAGTTTTAAGAAAAATATCACCTGTTTTTCATCAGATTCTTACAATCAGTGTGCAGACAAGGGGTAGGGTGACAAGGGCAAAGTTAGTGATGAGTCATGCACTGGGCTTAAGGAAACACAGGAAAAGAACAGAACATGGTGTTAGATTAATAATACAACTATAGTACAGCTTATGTTTTCAGAACAGGTCCCAAAACTAAGTGGAATCATGCAGCGTGCCCTGGTTAGTGGTGTATTCACTCAGCATGTCTTTGCTATTAACGAGTCCCCCTGTATTGCTGAGTGCCATCAGGCAAGTTTTCTAGCCATTCTTCTGCTGATGAGCATGTGGGAGTTTCAGGTTTGGGCTGTTGTGAACGCTTCTGTTCAGGCTTTTGTGTGGACATATGTGTTCTTTTCCCTTGGGTAAATCATCTGCAGGGGAAGCAGCTGCATGGAAGTCTTTGTGTAGCATCTTAAGGTTCCAACTTGTTTGTCTTATTGATAAATTGGACTTCACTACAATGTAAATGAGGTTCACTATAATAAGATGCTACCAGACACTACACACAGATAGGGGTGTGGAGTGTAAGATGGGACAGCCACTCTGGGGAAAGTTCTGGCAATTTCTTACAGAATTAAGTGCATACCTGCTTTGTGAGCCAGTAATCCTACTCTTTCATTTCATTTCAGAAATGAAAACCCATGTCTGAAAAAGGCTCGTACAAAAATGTTTACAACAACTTTGTTCATAATAACCAGACTTGAAAACAGCCCCCGTACCCGTGTAGAGAATGGCTAAACTGTGTTCTGTCCACACAACGGGCTGTTATTTGGTGGAAGGAAATGAGCTACTGATGCGCACAATGCAGTCTTAAGGGAGGATGTCCCATGTGATTCCAGTTACATAAGTCTGATCAAAAAACTCTGGTGGGGAAAATTCAGGATGACAAAAAGGTTGACAATGGGATACTTCAAGTATTTTTCCCAATATTTTTAAAAGGCTTTGGAAATTCTAGCATTTATCCATCGTTGGCCACACCTGCTGATGTGTGTATTTTGATTTTGTTTCAGCTTGTTGGAGTCACCATAATGATCTTGTGCACCAAACGTGTTCAGATTGTGTGTGGGCAGGTTACCCTTGATAATGAAAACTGGGGCGAGTCATATGTTTGGTAGACTCCACATCTTAAAATGTGTGTGGGGTTCATGGGTGAGAGATGATGAAGGGGGGTGGTCATGTGGAGGAGATGTGACAGTGATGGGGATTTGCTTACACTGGGAGTGGTGCCTGGGGCTGGGGAGACCATAAGGGCCACCTGTAGCTCATACAGACCCTTCATGCAGTTGGAAGAAGCCCTCCCCTGGGGAGATGGCTAGACGATACCTGTGCACTCCAGGCAGGTGTGCCCCAGGGTAAGACAGGCTTGGTC